ATGATAATCTTCATCGTTCTAGGTCTAACGTTGTTTTTCATTTCACTTATAACTTACACTACCGGTTCTTCATCTTTCTCGTTATCTTATTTTAATGCTAACGGATCAGAGTGACTAGCTGCCCACAACAATGTTTACTTTCTGCCATCATTTCTTATCTTGTGCCAGTCTCAATGTTGTTCACTTTCTTATACGGTATTGCACTGCCTTTAAAGGCGGCTCATTGGTCAATCACTAAAACTAATTCTTTATCGTAACTCTGTAGTCATACCAGTACCATTGAGAATCGATAAAGCTTATCAATCAAAGCAAGTTCACACACGTCTACGGTAGAGGTCTACACGAGATCATATTATAAGCGATAAGACTGTTAGAAAAGATGAATAATGAGGAAAAGTTTGACATTATCACAAGCATTCAAGACACTTTCTTCTCTGCTAAGTTTGAATTCAGCTGATTGCGTAAGACTTTCTTGTCCTGTTTCGGTTTTCTTGGTAGTACAGTGGATAATACATGGTACAGCATCGGCCATATAGCAAAATAGATGATGTAGATCAGGAAGTACATTGATTTTACTGGCTGAAAAGAGCTTAAAATACCTAAGTGACCGATATTGCAAACTCAAATTACAAAAGGTTTCTCGCAAAATTCAACAACTTACCCCAAACCAATATCTTGTCTTCACCAAACCAAAAGTAAGGAAGGCGAATCCCATGGAATATAATGTGGTGATACGTCCAAACAACCAGATAAATGGTCGAACGGATGGCTTTGCAATAAATTCAGCCCATCCAGGAGTTTGATCAATAAGCTTGTACAACTGTATCAAACCATTAGAATACTGGACACCAACTTCAACTGATGCAAGGCAAACCTGTTGTTGAGCAGATACACAGCCGAACTCTAGACCGAAAAGCAGGAAGTATCCCAAATGGTAGCCATGCCATATAGCTAGATAGGCAAGTGTTGCCAATTGTGCTGCTGGCTTGTTATCCAGCCATCGTAATCGCCGTAAGATATGGCTAGAATTAACAAATTCGCAAATTCACTAATACAGAAAATTAGCCACATGAGATAACCCACTTCTTTGCCCAGATATTTGTCCCGCAGTTGAATGACTGCACACAGTCTGTGAAGTCCCGACTCAACTCCCATTTCCACACGTCAATGTCTCTAACGCCATCCCATCTAGAAAAACTGCAGTTTCTCAAAAAAGGATTAGACTATGAAATATATGAGATGGGGAAAACATTTTAATCGGACCCGCAAACAACTGTAAGGATGACAAACAATCTTTCTAGATATTTATATGAGATTCAACACCGTTGTCAAGGAGCAAGAATGCAAGAGCGCAAAGAATGCGTTTTGCATTATAAATTCAATTGTATCCGAACTAATGAATACATTCGAAAAGGCCAACTCAGCAAAATACGATAATGTCAAAGGGTAAGGAGGGCAATTGCCGTTTCTGCATAATTCGACACTTATCAAACTATGCCCTTTGATACTAACTAACCGGTCCTGTCCTTTTCCATCTTTTCCATTGTAACCAAGGCCATTAAGTATTGAGGCTCCTTCCTAAA